GCCGCGGGTGGGCGGACGAGGCTACTGATGACGGCGTGGACAACGGCGAAGCGGTTGACGACCTCACGTAGCTGTCACGTGTGCGTGCTAGCCGCAGCCGTGGGTGGACGGACGAGGCTACTAATGACGGCGTGGACGACGGCGAAGCGATTGACGACCTCGCGTAGCTGTCACGTGGGCGTGCTAGCCGCAGCCGCGGGTGGGCGGACGAGGCTACTGATGGCAACGTAGACAACGATGAGGGAAGCGGATGACGACCTTGCATAGCTGTCGTGTGTGCATGCTGGCCACAACCGCTTGCAGCCGCGGGTGCGCTGACTTGCTGCTATAGACGCGTGCGTGCCACCACACGCCCGTGATGGGATTTGTGTGCTCGCCTCGTAGCCGCGGCCGTGTGCTGGCCACCGTGCGGGTGTGCTGACTGGCCGCTGCAACCGCATGCTGGCCACCATAGCCCCGTGATGGGGTGTGCGCTGGCCGAACTAGCCGTGACTGCGTGTTGTCCACTACGCGCCGTGTGCGGGCCTTCAGGGCAACTCCAACGCACTACCCCACCTGGTCCAGGAGTGTCCGTATAGGCCAAAACAGACAGACGCCACGGCCCAACGCGCGGCGGCATCAACAAATTTTTTCCGCTTCGCATCCGGCCTGCCTCATTTCCACAGCAAAATTGCTTCTGGTTTGCGTCCACATGGACAACGAATGGACGGGCATGCGCTTGCTTCTCGCCTGCCTCGGAGACGCGTGGCGGCCGCCCACCTACCTCCACTGGCCAAAATAACTGCGCACGTGTGGTGGGCCCCGGCTGTCAGCCACCCAGCTTCCCCAGTCGTCGTCCTTCTTAATGTGGAAGTCGTGGACCGGCCAGTCCACAACTTCCATTCTGAGCCCGGTTGCCTCCTCAAGCCCCGACATGAGCGAGCAAACCCTAGCCGCCGACACATCTCTTCTCATCCACCACCTCATCGGCACCATGGGCTGGCATTGGGTTGGCAAGGGGAAGATTGACCGTCGCCACTCCTGCCTCCCACCAGATTTGCTCTACGCTCGTAGGTACACCGTGGATTCCTTGCTGTGGGATACGTGGCTCCGCAACAAGCACAACCTGCGGCGGCAATCCTTTTTTGCCGGACGTCCTCCAACCCGCGTCGGTCACGTCCTGCTCGTACTCGGAGCCCGCCCCATACATGCGGGCATACATGTGTGCACAACCTCACACCGACGCTGTCCCCGTCCCCACCACCACCACCTCCCATGACCGAGGAGGAGGAGTCCGAGCTCACACTACAAAAAAAGACACACCCACGACATTATGGCCCGAACGAGAACTTTTTTGGTCATGGTTATGACACTTTAATGACAATAATTGTGATAAAAACACGTATCATCATAGATGTGGTGGGCTCCTACTTCTATGACAAAGAATTATGACAAAAAATGGGCTTTTCGTCCTGGACGGGCATGAGACACACATGCATGACATTCTTTGGGCCATCCATGACGTGAAAAATCATGATAGAAGTGAGGGCGAGGAAACTTTTGGGGAGTTCCCGGTTACGGTGGGTGGTCGGGCCGAGCGATGTAGTATGGTTTGCACGTTTCTCTCATACGCATGTGTGTGCGAGGAGTTCTCTAACTGACCCGAGCGAGGCGTTCGCTTAATGAACTCGAGTGATCGCACTAGCTCGCTACATTACTGAACACACGATCGATCCCACTACAT